TTTTTTTATTTGCCACATGAAATTCATGTCTGGAATGTTGCCGTGGTGCTATCTATGATCATTTTGGATAAAATGGATGCTTCTCTTCCTTTTTTTTTCGTTGCAATGCAAGGCATATGATGATCATACTATGGGCTGCACCGAAGAGTACGCACGTCTTCAAGGTTCTCGGAAGACATACAAACAAATAGAAACAAAAACAAAGAAAAGGATTATAAAATTTATAAAATTGTACTAGTAAAAACAAAAACAACAAAAAAGAAGTTATCCGTTTCGTTCCTTCCCTTAGACGGATAAGAGTAGCAATGACGAAAGTAATAACAAGTCACTTGCACAATTTGATAACCCATATAAGTAACTTTCAAAATTTCGCGAAACATTCACCCCTCGGTCCACCACTGCCTACCGTATACCCACCGTAAGCACGCGGAGGCGTTTTCGTGCGGAAAAAGTGCGATAATCGCATTAAAACGATCTTAGATAACCCCATGGGCCAAGTTTGAGCTAAATTCACGACAAAAGAAAACTTGGGACCTGGATAGCCGAATAACGCCCGAATAGCTTCCGTAATTCTGGATAGCAGGTCCAGAAAAAGCCTGAATCAATTGCCGCCAGGGAAATTCGATCATAGTTTAGTGTTTTCAGTTGTTTTTCCGCATACATTCTTTTCCTTTTCCACCTTTCGTCTTCACTTTCCATCGCCAGAAGGACTCAAACAGTCTTCATTTTCCAGGCACTATCTCTACACCATTGCAAGTATGCACGCTTAACTGGGCTTATCTCTGAAATAGCGAATCATAGGCATTGAAGGACTGTAGTTACGACGGTATAAGATCGCATCAACTCTGCCAGGCGCTGCTGGAAGAGCGGAAGAACTGCATAGGTCAGTGACCATTGCAAAAACAGCAGACCTCCGCCGAATTCAGGGAGAAGAGTAGATAATTTGATAGGTGACCAAGACCCTTTTCGACTTTATCACCGAACAGTAGAACGCTCTCATGATACAGTTACCATCAAGCAAATCTGCACGTCAAGTGAACACTCCGTCAACAAATGATTTAGCCGTCAAACAAATGACTTCCGCAACTGCAGACCCTGCCGAGCAGCGCTCGATATGCACCGCCTCCATTGTTTCTTTTTTCGAGTGAACGCAATTGTATTTTTTGAGCATGGTTATCAGAGATTTGATGTTCTATGTGACTGAAGTGTTTTTCCGTGCGATGAACCGTGATCTGTCTTGTGATTACTTCTTGTGATTATGGTTGCGGCAAGTTAATGGTGTCTGTATCGTTGTGAGTGTTTCTGGTTCTTTTTTCATCGAGTCTGGTATGACTATCCTTTAATATGTTACTCTGATCTGAACTCAGGCAATAGTCACTCAGTCTCAATTTGAAAAGTTTGCTGGGAAATGTCACATTTTTATGTCATCAAACTTGGACATGTAGTCATTGCAAGAGCGCAAACTAGGGCGTCTGCGCTATCAAAACTTCTTAAATATTCTTTTTTGTCTTACTGGAGTAATTCTCGATTTCTTAATTCTCTAAAGCTCCATTTCTTTCCTTCCGCTGTGACAGTAATCCGTTCAACAATCCTTCAGTATTTTTTAAGTGTCAAATCGAATCTAACCCGAATCTGCTCGAGCTCATAGTCAAATCAGACGCTATGCCCGATTCCGACAATCAAGCCAGTCCGTCTACCGTTGATCACACAACTGAGGTGCGCAGAGTTTCGAATAAAGTTCGTTCGAGTCTCAGGTCTTACGACGTTTATAGGAGACTGCATGCGTGGACAATGAGCCTAGTCCTAGTGAAGTTTCTGTGCCAAAATCAGCTATCGATGTTGCCATTGAACTTATAGAACAAGCAGAGATTGATGCTTTGGAGGCAGCTAGAATGTGAGTATCTTGGTCTATATGCGTAGCACATAATCATGGCAAATTCTTCATGTCCCTCAGTCGATGTATACTGCCGCTCGCGTAATCTCCAATTTTTTCGCAAGCAGAAAAACTTGTTCAACATAAGTTGATGTGAAGCTCTATCTATTTTATTAACAATTAAGCTTGCAGTGCTGCTCTAAACAAACCCAAACCCCGTGGGCGGCCACCAATCCACAGAAAATCACCAGAGTACGTTTTTTTATATTATGGATGTTTGTCATACTTTTTCTTTTGCCAATAAGGCTGTCTCTTGATTACACATACAGGGTGTCCCAAAAAAATGAGAACAGTTTGATCGTTAATAACTCTCTTTCTTTCACGTCTTTCG